TTCACCTGAATGCCGAGCTGACGTCGCACGACGCGTGCCCGGGATCATCTTGCACTGTGATGCCGAGCTTGGAGCTCGGCTTCGCGATACGGTCAGTACAATGTATTATTCCCTTTATTGTGTAATTGTTCAGTTATCACATGTACTTATAAATAGGTTAGTCCTCTCCTAAAGATAATACACCAGTCAGATTCTTTTCTCCATCTCATACTGTCTTGTTTTTTCTCTCTACTTTTTCTTCCTTTTATAACACGTTATTAGCATGATAGTCTTTCCGTTATTGGTGTTGCAACTGTAAGATAAAGCTATGAAGAATTTTCATGAAGAAAACCATATTTTTCAAAACAAATATTTCAAGGTTAGTTATTCATCTTCCACAATAAGAATTTTATCAAATATTTGTACTGTTTACATTATTATGTATTAAAGTAGTCTTGAAGACATTATAGTAGTCCTGAAGACATTATTAAATAAAAAAATATTATATACATCCTTGAAATGTGTCTAGAAGATGCTATCAAAAGAGAATATTCAATCTCTTTTAATTTATTAATTTTTTTCTCACTAGAAGTGAGAAATATCAATATTTCATTAACGTAATATATATTGTCATTATTATGCAATCATATTTTTCATATTATGAATTTGATAGAATATTTGTATTTTTATGATTGTGAAATTTATTTAAATACAATTGATTTTAAAGAAAAAATAAAAAAAAAATTATAAAAATATTTTTATAATGGTCTAGAAGACATTGTCAAATAAAGACATTTTAATATTTTTTTCTCACCAGAAGTGTGAAAATGATGAAAAAATGAAAATGAAAGAATAAATTTTCTCACTAGAAGTGAGAAAGTGATATGAAAAGTGAAAAATAAAATAAATTTCACCAGAAGTGAAAAAAAATTGATATAAATATATTAAATTGAGTTTGATCCTTTGATATAAATGAGACCACCACCAGAAGTGAAATAATTTTGTCAATATTATAATGTTGAATTATATTTGAGACACTTATAAATATTATGACTAATGAAGCGTGTCCTTAAGTCTATTTAGGTTTTGAGTGATTTCTTGAAAGGATTATGAGTTTTCCTACATTTATAATTTGATATTGTTCTATATATTCCTCTACAAACACTTGTTCTCTAGTGTATTTGTCACCGAAGTTAAAGCTAGGCTAGGTTAAACTAGAATTATTATATAGTAAGCACCAACGACAAGAAAGAGGGAAAAGAAAAATGGGTTAGGGGAAAAGAACTTAAGGGTTTATATTTTAAATAAAAATATGCTTTAGTTTGTAGGACATATATGAAGAAACACCCAATTAAATGCTTGCTCAAGCCACTTTCGTGTTTCAACGAGGGCCACATGCATCCCTTCTTCTATACGTTTAATCCTTTTAATAATCTTTCTAAAGCTCCCTTGACGAATAAATCAAAATTTATTTTTCCCCAAAACTCAAAACTACATCATCTATGCTATGTAGCATAAATTAGGTCGATGTACATTTCAAATAAATTGTAAGCCATTGGCCGATCACGATTGTTGAATAATTTAGCGTGACTAAAGCACAGAATCTTAGTTCTTATTATTATAGTAGTATCTTCTTATAACTTTTTTTTTTAATATTTTATGAAAAATGCTGATTAATGTTTTAAGGAAAGCGATTACAACCCAAAAGTAAAATGTTTAAGAAAAATAATATTATTAATTTTCCGTTACCATATATTTTCAATAGATCCACAAATATGATTTTTAACAAAAAAAATAATATTATTAATTCCTTAACCTGTACCTTTAGGAAGACCAATATACTTTATAAAATAAATATTACATAAAAATTAAATGTATTTTGACACCTAAAAGTATATAACAAGTATGAAGATTAATATAAAAGCGTTGGAGAAAGATTTAAAAATATTTTTATGGGTTTACAACTTTATAGTGCACAAATAAATATACTGAAAATAATTAAAAAATAATATGATTAATAAAATTGATATATTATCTCATTTCGTAGAATAAATGTTTAAAATGATTTTTTTTTCTCATTTTTCATTTCTCAATTAATTCTACACTGGTTTTCATTAAAATTTTGCAATGGTAAACTTCACACAACGATTATTTACTAACTAAGGCTAAACTAAAACACTATCTCAATCAAAGAAAACTACTTCAGTGAAATGAAATAGTTATTTCATACATACTTATATTTAGAAAAGAAAACCGAAGGAAATGAATGCTTGAGCAAGTTCTAAACTTCTAATGTATATGATGTGAACGTTAATGGGAGGGGTAGCAGTCGTATTTATGAACAGTAACCTCAAATTATTATAATATAAAAACTGCGAATGAGGTCACTTCTTACGTAACTTTGCCTGTAAGGAAACCAAAAAGGGTTTCAATTTTGACGATGGATGAATTTAAAAAATATTTAACATATTTTGTAATCATCTTTTTAAGAATAAAATAGTTTTAATAATTTTATTTCGGTCTTTAATTATTGCACTAGTTAGTTTTTTTTTTTTTTTTTTTTTTACATTTTACTTAAATTTTCTACAATATTTATTTTATCTGTCTTTGTCTATCATATCACTCTTTTTATATTACATCTTGTCCCTTATTATAAAATATATATTTCGTGAGAATAATGTGTTGTTAAAATAATATATTCGTTTTGAATGGCCTTTAATGATGATTTTCTTTCTTTCTTTAACATACTTTTTTTATTATATTATTTTTTGTTTATGAAAATTAGTTTAATAATTTTAAAATTTTAAAAATAATACTTATCTATAAGAAATAAGGAGTGTGTTGCAAAATTTTTCAAAAGAAAGTCTCATTATCATTTAATTTGTCTGATAAAATCTATAGGAATCTTTAGCATGTGAGATCTCCGTAGAAGGTTGCTAGAAATAGCATATTTTGCCCAAATGAAATGAATCTGCTCCTTCATTCAGCCCCCATAGCCAAAACTAAGGATTATTTAGACCACTCATTGAGTTGAGCATACCATGTTTCCTTTACAACGAGGCAATGAGTTGGTTATCCAGTTTTCTAATAGCCCCCACCAGCATGAACACAAAATCTCCGAAGATCTGATTCTGGATGATTATGCTTCTCTGGATGTCAATGATTCGGACAGAAAAATCACAAGTAGCCGACCAAAGAAACTTTTCTGTGTGGCTGATAAGAAGAATCATGGCAACTCTAACGAACATAATAAGAAGAAGATGATTCATAAGGAGATTGAAAGGCAAAGGAGACAAGAAATGGCTACCTTCTTTGCCTCTCTTAGATCCCTTCTCCCTCTTGAGTTCATCAAGGTGAAAAACCTTTGTTCCTTTGTTGTTTACTCTTTTTCTGTACACACTGTCAATAACTTGTTGAATTACTCCTTGATTGAGTGTGTGTTTAGTAACACATCTGATGTCACTGAAAGTGGATCTACGAAAGCAACTATTAATTGCTTTTTCATAAAAATTGACATGATTTTTGCTTAATCACTCAGTTATTTCCGTTTTAGGGGATACCCTTTGGAAATTAGGCTACTCCCATGAGCTAATTAATTACTAGTAACCATTCTCTTTATAAGAATCCAAGTGTAGAATCCCCTTTATTTCTATACTTTACACAATAACTACTGATTCTTACCCTTGTTTTTTTGGTAATATTATGTGATGTGGTTCAAAGTTTTCTGAGTTTATTAGGGTTATTGGATGGTTTTTCTTCAGGGAAAGCGTTCAATATCTGACCACATGAACGAGGCAGTGAATTACATAAAGCACATGCAGAACAATATCAAAGAACTTGGTGCCAGGAGAGATGAACTGAAGAAACTCTCCAATTATTCCAATACGGAAAATAATCAAGAGGGTTTGCATACATCTTGCAACTTTACTGTCCACGAGAATAATGGTATTATGGGAATCGAAATCACCAGCGGCTCCAGAGAAAAAAGGCCTAAACTTTCAAAGTTACTAAAGTTACTGATTGAAGAGGGACTTGAAATTGTTAGTTGCCTTTCAACAGAAGTCAATGGAAGATTGATCTACAGTGTTCAGTGTGAGGTAATAAGTTCATGTTTTCATTTTAGAGAGTTGCTATGGTGTCAGATAAATTTAAGGGTTTAAGTACAGTTATTTTTTAGACCAATAGTTGAATTAGTTTGGACAAGGGAAGAGAGAATGTCTCAATAACGTTACTTTCCAAAACCCTTAAATTTCTGAAGGTTCTATAAAATTTCTCTTTTTAACTATTCCAAAAATTTATTCTAATGTTATATATTTTCCCTATGGAACTTGATTCACAGGTTAACAATTCCAGCAGTGTAGATCTATCTGAGCTGAGAAAGAAAGTTTGCAATGCATTTCCAACATTCACGTGTTCTGATTAACTTTGTGGTTGGAGATAGCTAGCTAGACTCACAATCTGGCCAATGACAGGAAATTTTCCCATAACACGCTTTTTAGAACTTTCTAACTTGATCATTGACTTTGTTTAGAAGAGTTTCCTTGCAAATTTTACATTGGCAACTGTCCCCTTTAAATTTTTAGATACAAAGTTTTGTTTTATTTGCGTGAAGAAAGAGGGAAGAAGAAAGAAAATTTGTGTAGAGATCAAACTTATCATTTCTTTTCCCTGATTCCTTTCACAGCTTTTCTGCTATCAAATGGATTCAGTTTGCATTTGCTTTTTCGGATTTCTCTGTGCGCCTTCGCTGTCTCAACTCATTTGTAGGGCTGGGCAAAATTAACTTAACTAAACTAAAACTATTAATAACTGAATTATTTTAAACTAAAAAACTAAAACTATTTAAAATAAAACTGAACTAAACTATTTTTTAATTCAGTTTTAAAAAATTGAACTTATTTAAGTTATAGTTTAGTTAACTATAAATAACTACTAATTAAAAAATAAAAGAAGGCACCGCACGGGTTGGCTCTTTACGCTAAGAATCCCTAACTCACATTCACACGAGTCACACCAGCCACGAAAATCTGCTTACAGGCACCGCAAGGTAAATGTAAAAATCTTCCTTCACAAGCACGAGTTGGCTCTTTTTTATCGCTCTTAAATTATAGATGGTACGACTTTAATTCCTTGCAAATCTGCTTTTCCTGGCTCGCGAGGTGTCTGCTACATTGAGGATTAATTCAGATTTTTATGGACTTCATTTTTTCAAATTAATTCATGTATTAATTCATCTTGAGAGGTCCTACATATTTGAACATACAACTTATAGTTTTATGTGCTTGATAAGTGTTATTCTGTCCTTGATACAGTATTTACATCTGATGTGACAAGCTCTTTAGGACTGCAACTTGCACCAGATAATTGCACAGGGATTTCCAGATCACTTGATCAAATTCAGTGGAATTTTAGCTTCTGAATATGCTATCAAAATCATTGTATTGTAGAAGAGTTGTTTGAAAAAGTTGAACCACCAAGGTTTAATGTTCTGTGTGGAGTTTTATTGAAGTTTACCACTATTTGGAATGCTTTATATAGGGCCAAAGCCCCCCCTCTCTCCCCTTTGACAGCTTCTTGAGAGATCTTTCTGAAAAAAAAGAATCAGTTTACCAAAAATAGTTATTTCTGAACATGCTATCAAAATGTATTTGATCTTTATATATTTCACTAATTGTTGTAGTTCTCATAACATGCTGCAGGGAATGTTGTACATATGTAGTTTAAACTGGACCTTTTTTTTTATTATCTTCTCTAACAATTTTTCGCTTCTTAACTTGAAAATAAATCTGCATTGAATTATTCTCTAAACTATTTCCTTGTATTGCTTATTTCTTTGTACTATTTACATCTTTTAATAGTTCTATGCTTCCAATTCCAAGGTAATTTTAATGCAATAATTTTTGGTCATGGAGTATCTGAATGGAGGTGACCTGTATTCATTATTAAGGAATTTGGGTTGACTGCGTGTGGAGTATTTGCATTCACTGCGTGTGCTTCATCGTGACTTGAAGCAGTGAATGTGTTTGGATTTTTGTATACAAACTGTGGTTTAGGTCCTGTACAAAAAAATGTAAGTTTTAGTCCCTAAACAATTTGTCAAGTGGCAGAAGTTTTTGTAGCAGTTCATCAACAGTTATTTGTTAATACAGAGCCCCCAGATTCTCAGTAGCAGATTTTGGTATAGTTCATCAACAATTCATAAACTGGTGGCACAGTTTAGAAGCAGTTCATAAATAGTTCAGTTCAAAAATAGTGCAGTTCAGAAACAAATTAATGTGTATAGCAGTTCAGTTTACTTCATATTATAGTTCAGTATAGTTCAGTACAGTTCTGTACAGTACAGTTTAATAGAATAAAAAACAGTTCAGTTCAATTTTTGTAATCTAATTTTTAGTTCAGTTAAGTTTAATTGAAATACTTTTTAGTTTAATATAATTTTTAACAGTTTAGTTTAGTTTAGTTAATTTTGCCCACCCCTACTAATTTGCAAGATTCACCATGAAATTGTGTCTAATTAATTTTTATTAAATATTACATCGTTTAATAATTTTTAAATTTTTAAAATTTATAATTTAATTTATGCATTAAAAATTTTAAATTTAACAGTTAAATTGTTAAAATTTGATGTAGAGCATGAGTTATTGAATAGAGTAAAATTAGGTAAACTTATTCTTGGAATAACTCTATAAAGTTACTCCACATCTCATTTCTTTGTTTTTTTTTTTTAATTTAATAGTGCAAGATTAATATTAAATAAATATGACCAAATTTATTAGCTTCCTCTTTATTTACAATAATTTTTCTTGATTGATATAAATTATTCTCAGTAATTAATTTGTTATTTTTCATTTATGCTTTTTCTTCTTCATTTATATCTTCACATATTAAAAGGGAAAAATAAAGTAATGAAATTTTCTCACATATATGAATGTGTGATCTCGTTATAACATTATAAAATTAGAACAATAGTAAGCTCCGATTAACTGTAATAATTGTGTGCTTAGTTGATCCTGTTATTGTGAGAAATCTTCTCTTAACATAATTTCTTTTTAATTAATGATTTAATTTATCGAGAGATATATCAAGCTCACTCTTAAATCTAAGATTTTGAGTCAATTACTTAATTATTGTAGGAAAAAATATTTATGAATTTTTTGTTAACTTTTACTTGAAAAAAATCATGAATAACCAAGTACGATTAAACATATTGTAGTTCTAGAATTTGAAAAGTAGATATAGTGATATCAATATTAAAAGAATTATAAAACAATTGAGTTGAAAAATCACCTATTGACAAAGAGTATAAAAAAAAGAAATTAATCAATACCCAACCAAACAGTCAATTATTACAATTAATTGGAGTTCATGATTGCTCTTCTTTCGTAATGTTATAGCGGGATCACATTTCATGTTTGTGAGAAAATTTGATTACTTTACTTTGTTTTTTTCTTTTTGATATGTAAAGAAAGAGAAGTATAATTAAAGAAGAAATAACATAAATGAAAAGGATAAATTATATCATAAATAATTTATGTTAATCAAGAAAAATTACTATAAATAAAAAGGAAGTTAATAAATTATATTATATTTAAGTAATATTTAAAATTGATTATACACCGTTAAATTAAAAGAGAATAAAGAATTGAGATGTGAAATAGTTTTATAGAGTTATTTCGAAAGTCATTTAATTCTCCCTATATATAGAGAGAGGAGAGATTTGTTACTCTAGGAGTAAGTGTAAGTAGACTTACTCCATTTAATAATTCATGTTCTACATCAAATTTTAATGATCTATTCATTGAATTTAAAATTCTCAGTTCATAGATTAAGTCTGTAAATTTTTTAATAAATGTAAAAATTATTTGATACTACATTAAATTGAATTAATAAAATAAAATATCAAATAATTTTAAAATTTTATAAAAAAGTTACAAACTTGATATATATATATATATATATATATATTAAGAATTTTAAATTTAATGATTAGATCGTTGAAATTTGATGTAGAACATGAATTATTGAATGGAATAACTCTAATTCTTGAATTAAACAGAACTTTCTTTTATATATATATATATATATATATATTGATTTTTGTCATGTATGATAAGCAAAACTCAAATTATCTTAAATAAGATTAATCTTTATCATATACAACTGGCTCTTGAGACAAGTCACAATTTCATAACAAACTTCACCATCTGTACACCATTCATTTTACAACAATTGAAACTTGCCATTTCACATCCACCACTATTAACACAAAATCCTGCCAAGCATTGACGTTTATTGTCTTTTAAGTGCACAAATTAACTGAATACTTGTTTTAATGCTAATAAACTTGTTCATGTAAGAAATACTTTCTTAATATTCTTCTCTTCTGTGATTAATTTCCTAAATTTCAAGATAGTGATAACTCAAATTCTTGTCCCACGTTGATGAGAAGGGTACCTTCACAGGCACTCTGAAGCTCAAATAAGTATTTGGTTCATTACAATAATAGTATAATATTAAATAATTATATTCACCCCTTTATCATCAATGCAATATTTATAATAATATATTTGGATTTGATGGACCTTTTGAATTAAGAGATTTAATTTAATGTAGATTTAATCATCATTAAGATAGACCTTCCCCTTACAAAACCTTTTCAGGTAATGAACAAAGACAGCAAAAGCATGACAAACTTTTGATAGTTCACGGCACTTCAAGAACTCGGTTATTAGTCAACCAAAGCATTAGAACGAAGTCAGCATATAATAAACTAAAGTTACTAGTCAACACGAATTTAATTTTGATTTAATTAATGTACTATTATGTATTCTGTAATGATATCTTGTCATATTAAAAGGGTAAAATTTCTTAGACAGCGGTTATGATAATTATTATTTTTTTTTAAAATTTAACAATATAATAATTGAATAAGAATGAGAAAAAGGAAATGTTACTATAATGGTTAAAAATCAAATTCAATGAGTATTTATTTTTTGTTTTTACGTGTAGAATAACAATAATAATATTTAAACTTTAAACCTAAAACTTTGTGAATTTATCTAAAATATTTATTGCTAAGCCGGACTTAATGATTCTATTTATATTTTCATATAAAACATATACTTAAATTTCTTGAATAAAAAAAATCTTAAAATATGTAGCCTATCAATATTCACTTTAAGTTTTTGATTCTAAATGATAAACAATGGATTAGCATCAGTGGCAATTGGCACTATCAATATCTGTTTGTTGTTGGCTTTCGAAGTCTCAAGCATCATTCTTTATTTAAATAAATCTTTAGAAATAGAAAGCAAAATTAATATAATGTTTTTTATAATGATTATAAAAACTACATCGTTTTTCAATTTGACCATAGCCTAAATTCGTTGGTCTTGCTCACTTCCATTGATTTTTCTCGATACTTCGATTCTTTAATTCATTAATTGTCACAGTATGTGTCATATCATCCAATTAAATATATATATTTATGTGCATAATATCTAATAAAAAGGAAAAAGTTAAACACAAGAAACAGGAAAAGTGACACCAAATTGCCGTCAAACCAAACCAAACCAAATCAAATTCAAGATGATTGGTTAGGTGGTTTTTGGCTTTTTGCCAAAGACATGCAATCATTGTTCCAGTTCTTGTTAAATCATCAACTAAACATGCACAGAGTTAGAATGATCTCTGGCCATGCATAAGCTTTGTGAGGCCAACACAAATAATTTTCATGTGATTAGATGTGCTCCAATTGCTAACTTACCAAGACAACACAATTACATGTGATGTGTTCCATGCTCAAATCTCATCAACTACTGCCATGATCATATTTATGGGCAATGCTAAAGTAGGAAAATGTTGGCATATGCCAAGGTAGAGGAAACTTAAATCGGTTGTTGACTTGATTAGAGAGTATTGGATTACCAGGAGGTTAATATCAAATCAATGCTTCATTTATGGAATTGTATAATATTTTTTAAAAGATAAAAAGATTACAAAAGATAATCTGAATCTAAGTTTCAATGAAGATTAATATATATATATATATATATTATATATATATATATAAAGTTTTATAAATAACATATGTTATTTAAAAAATATTTGAAAAATTTTAAATTTCTCACTTTCAATTGATTTTTCAAAAAATGAATAAATAAGTTATTTACAAAATAAGTTATATATTTGAGAAAAGTATTTAATTTTTAAACTTTTTTCTTAAAAGTAAGTTGGTTTTTTTACCGGGAGAAATTCATATACTTTCATTCATAACAAGAGAAAGAATACAATATGAAATGAAATAAAATAAATAAATAAATTGAACTAGTATAAAATCTAGATACTCTTATTAAAGAGTGAACAGTTTGATTAAATTGTCACAAATAAATTATGAAAAAAAGTTTTGAATATGGTCAAAAGCATTCACCACTTGTTTGCAGTCAGGCTCGAAAATGACATGTAATAAATTCATCTTCAATACCCATTTTATTTTTTCATATAATGCAACAACTTCATAGGGTGAGACCAACCTGTTTTTTAATAAACAAAATTTCTATGTTACAGACACAAGCAGCAAAAACCATATTTTCATGTGTCGATAAATAATGTTATTTTTAAATTACTTTATTACATAAAAATAGATATTTGAAACTCATGTTTATTTTTCAAAAGCTTTTTTTTCTTATTACAAAAAAATAGATATTTTGACTTTATTCAAATAAAATTAAACATCTTAAAATCAC